CGAACAAACTTCTAAGTCCTGTTGTCAACCTCGATAGTTTAATCTTTCAGCGCCTTGTTCTGGATTTTCATTGGTTAACGAGGCAATAAAATATCAGTGCGGATGGCCAATCAACTTGAAATATAGTCCACCAGGCAGATGCGGGGAGCTAAAAACGCGAAGCTGAATGTCGTTCATTGAGTGAACAGACCGTCCACCGGATAATGCATTTTTGCAAACTGAGAGTGGAAAGCCAGAAAAATACTAGGTATTGTCTCCACTACTGAGTTATCTGAAATTCTGAGCAAGAATGTGGATTCTACTTCATCTATCCCTAGCTTACGGGTCCCAAGAAGCACGGTTTCCATAGACCGGCTACTCAATGTTTGTTATGTGTTCCAACTTCCCCCATAGCCTTGGATCACTTCATGCTGCCCGACGTTTTCGTACTTTTTCGGAATTTGGTCCATTTGGTTCTTTTTCCAGTCCTGGAGCTGACAAGCGAAAAAGCATTCGCGGTACAATTCCGAAACCTCATGTTTCACATTATGGAGCATTCAGAAGCAGGTCGTCTTGTGGGAAACATCTATCAGGCCGCAGAGTTCGCTTTCCCCATTCAGTCGTTAAGCCTTGAATCATCTGCAACCAACTTCAGCCAGTTCTTTTCTATAGATACTTCAACAGGCGCCATTCGTACCAAAAATACCAGCCCCGAACTCCTAGATCGTGAACGGATATGCCCAGCAAATTTTGAACAAGTACTCTCCCGTCTTCCAGAAATACATTTTCAAGAGTGTCGAATGTCCCTCCTTCTTTCGCTCAATAACAAAATTCTCATATCTGTGAATATTATAATCGACGATCTAAATGACAATGCCCCGGCATTTTATGAAAATAATGAACTTCTCACCGATCTTTCAGTTTCTATCTACGAAGATGCTTTAGTCAATATTACACGCCAAAAATTACCCATCGCCTTGGATGCCGACGGAACCTCAAGTCAGGTTGTAGAATACAGACTGATTGGCGATAATTTGCCATTCAGACTAGAACAGCCGGCGTTCCTTTCTGGACAGTTCCATCCTCAAATCATCGTTACTTCTCCGTTGGATTATGAACATACCACACGTTATTCTTTCTTTCTGCAGACCTGCGAATCTGAAGATCTCGCGTTGGACACCGAATTCATACCCTCTGCACAATCAAGCCTGAAGGCACCAAAATGCTCATCCACTTATGTTAGTGTGAACGTGCTAAACGTCAATGATAACTCTCCGAGGTTCGAAAACTCCACCTACACAACGATTGTGAAGGAAACCTCACCCATAGGAACTACACTCCTTACACTTCATGCTGTGGATGGTGACGCCCCGCCCTATGGCAATGTATCCTATTTTATCAAAAAACCGGAAAGTTTGCCATTTTCTGTCGATGAGGTTACTGGTCGTCTCTTTCTCACATCTACAGAACTGCATCGAAAGCAATACTCATTTGTAGTGGAAGCCACTGACGGTCAGCTGCAAACACAAAGGTACGACGGGGCGCAGGTTATGGAACTTAGTAACGTCGACAGCGTGCTTGTCACCGTCTACGTCGTAGACGTCAATGATCACGCTCCTAGTATTGAGGTCCGACATGCCAGCAATCAGACGTCAGCGGTCTATGCCACGTCCTTGGCAGCAAGCGAGGAGGACGTGTTTGTAGTAGAGTTAGCAGAGGAGACTATTGGGCAGGTGGTCCTTGCTTATATCACAATTCGTGATGAGGATGAAGGCGAAAATGCGGTCTGTTCATGTCGTCTCACGCCAAATAGTCCAACTACACTTTTTTCAAAGTTCGGTGTGAGCAGGGTAAACCAACTTTCGCAGCAGGAATATGTCTACCGCTTGGCCGCAGTCAGTCCTCTCGATGCGGAGGATCCTGTTCTGGCACTCCACTTTCGAAGCCCAGTGCAGGCCGATAGATGTCGCGGCACGGCTGGTTTCCTGCCACTTACGATAGAGTGCAGTGATGCCGGTGCCGTGCCTCTCACCTCTTACAAGACCATTTTTATTGCCCTCCAAGATCGAAACGAATTCAGTACGTTATTTCCCAGGCCTGCACTAACTGAACCCGCTTTTATCAATGCGAATGGGAACCTAGTCTACCGGTTAACGGTCTCTGAAAATACGCCCACTGGGACGGAGCTTTACACGTTATCGGCCACCGACAGAGATGCTTCTCAGTGTATTGAATACTCTCTTGACGGATCTTCCGAGAGTTCGGGATTTGTGGAAGTTATTCCTCACAGCGGCACACTTGTATTGTTGAGGATGCTGGATTTTGAGACTCTGCGGAACTTCTCTTTTCGCGTAGTTGCACGCGACAAGAGTCCAGGGCAACAAAATGGGAATGTGGCAGTAGCGACAGTGGAAGTCATTGTGCTCAATGATAATGATAATTGGCCTAGGGTTGTCTTCCCATCCGCTCTTGATCAGACCACTTGCACGAAGATAAAAACGCCTCTTTTAGAGATTGCCCTGGCGAACATCAATCAGCCACTTCTTTCTAATGAAGTTAACTGCTTTATGGTCGATGTAATGGAGGAAATTATTGTCGGAACCACCCTAATAGCCTTGAATGCAACCGATGAGGACACCCCTATGAACGGCAGTTTCTTTTATACGCTGATAGAGGCTTTTGCGCCTCAACTGTCCTCTGGACCATTGCAACAGCGTTACATAAGGAGTACACGACTGGTGAACCCTCCAGTGAAGGTGGAGGCAGATGGAGAAATCCGTTCATGCGGCCGTCTGGATAGGGAGGAGAATAAATGGATTGACCTTGTCTTTTCAGTCAGTGATGGCGGTTCGCCGCCCTTGACTTCCACTGGAATTTTGCGCATCACTCTGCGGGACATCAACGATAACGCTCCACGTTGGCAATTTCCCTCAGTTAGTGACTGCCATATTTCTATAAGTCTGACAACCGAAGTGGGTTCCTTCATAACTAGGGTTCAAGCATCAGATGCTGATGACGAGGAAGGAAACGGTGAGATAGAATACGCCATTGCACTACTACCTTTCGACCTACACTCTCGTGAACTTTCGAGTCGCATGCGAGAGGAGTTAGGGAACGCTCACTATGGATATGACTTCTTCGAGATCAAATCGGACACGGGGGAAATCTCTACGAAGAAGATATTCTCCAATTCAAGCATTACTTTCTTCAGATTGGACCTTATTGCCACCGACAAAGGAGAGAGGCCACAGTCATCACAAGCGCATCTATTGATTACGGTTTCAGCCGCAACTCTGACTGACGTTCCCTCAGTTGAGGTTAACTATGTGCAAAACGATGATGTACAGCCGGCCGATCAGGGTTTTGGCAGCAAGGAGAGCACTACCAAAGATAAAACTCCCATCAGTCTGCAGTACGAATTAACTTCAAATAGTTTAATCTACCTGATCGGTATCTTCACAGGCGTTTGCACAATACTTTTATTTATCTTCATCCTATCATTTGTTTACTGTAAACGATGTGGGAGGTCTCGTCGCACTGCGACGCTCCGTACGCCTAAGTGTCCTCAAAGATTGCAACCGGTCGGCTTGACTCCCTGCACAAGTCCACTGCCATTGTCATCGATTTCCTCTTCGAGTAAGGATCCGTCACGCATTTCAAAGGCTTGGATCCCTTTGGAGGAGGCAGCGTCTTTCCAACTGAAACCATCGCCACCTGGCCTGACGCGCGAATCTTCAGCCTCCCTTCTACCCGCGACTGAACCGCCCTTTCCAGTTCTAACATTACCTATGTGCTCGGTTCCTCTGTCGCTAGATTCCGTAGGAAATAACGACGAAGGTACATTGCCCGACGTCCTGCTAAACAAATCAAATGTGCCAGTTTTCGTTAGCATTGCTGTACTTCCAGACGGAGTTGCGGGCTTCAGTGATGAGGGTCCAGCCTTTCGACAGTCAACATCGCCTGAGGAGGATGTTACCACAAGAGACAATAAAGATCATCTAATTCATGTACGAAATTCCCTTTCACGGAGAATAAAATGCGACCAAGAAAATAAAAAATACGTTGCGAATGCTTTGGAGCTAACGACTGAGTCAGAAGAGGTGCACGCAACACAAGAAAGAATTAGTCGACAGGGCATAATTAACCTACCTCAGTCAACAACATGAAAATGGAATATAATCAACGCCTGCAATAACTGTGAGGAACATGATTTTCGTTTATAAGGACGAGGAGTTTATTTTAAAAGACCAGGAATGCAAAAGGCAGTTCCTAGTATAATGTAAGTGTTCATATTTGATGCTGATGAATGAGAACATTCCACAAGACAAATATCTAATTTACATCTTTTAAAGAACGACGTGCGACTCGAGATAATAAATGTACATTTTTTAAGTTAATACATTATGAACTCTAAAGAATACTTATATTTTATTCGCCTTTCTTAGTAAATGTACAAACTGGTTTTTTTAGATGAAAGTGTGAGTGGAAAACGTAATAGATAATCGCCTAACTGCGCATAATAAGATTTTCAATGTACAATGGGAAAACTACTAAATCGGGTGGTTACTTTTAGGTCTGCCGATATAAACGGTACCTGCAAAAAGATTCAGCTGACCTTATATTCATATTGGCAGCGAGTGCCTGTAAAGCACAGACGTTTTAAACTTACTTTTCTTTTTAAGTCATTTTGACGATCGTCTTAACTGGCGTCGGAATGTTTTTGCGTCCCGTTAGCTTTGCGAAATTGGGGTAAGTAATTTGTGGGAGAACAAATCAAGCTTCCTTATTATTTTTACATGACGCCAAATTTTTCCTCAGTCCTCACGGGAGACTGGCGGTAGGACGTTCCCCGCAAAAACGCACAGACTTGCTAAATTTCCAAAGAATCACGAAATTACCACAAATCCTGCTGCACCGAACATCCGGCAGCAGGTAATATAAAAGTACAAACAACGAAATCACCCACATTCCATCCTAAATTCAGTATACTTTGGTGAAAGCCACTCTAATATGGCAAAACAGGTAACCGCTGTTCACGGGAACAATTAAGTATCCCCCTAACATAATTCAGCTTTTGTGAAAGACATCCTTCCTGGTGATGGAACAAAAAACCAAACATCAGTGCATCCACGTTTTCAGTTGTTAATAATAGATTTTGCCCCAAAACCTCATCCAAGGGCCTCCTCCTCGTATTTCTTTTAAAATATTTACAGAAATCGTTGGGAATTTGCAAATTAATGTCGGAACGTTTGCAGTTGCCTTATGTGTTAACCGAAAATCTTCCAAACGGTTATCCGTCTTTTCAACTGTCTCTTTTAGAACTACGCATAGCCATTCTTAGTGATAAATATTATTTTGGGAACCGGCACATTAGGGGATTTTAAATTGGTATACATACCTCCAGACTCAATTTTTACGTCAATATGCATAGAAGCACTCCTAAACACTGAATAATGCGGTTTTCGATAACCAATTTCCAACAATGTTTCACTATCTATCACTGAAATATCTGACGTGAATTTTTAATCTTAATATCCTCGTAAGAGTCTCGCTTGAAACATATGGACTATGTGCAATGAAAACTGATACGAGTTTCGCTATGGAGCTTTGCCAGCGTGCGTGTGGCAGTTCCAACCTGCCGGAGGTTAAGATTTTCATTTAGTGGAATGATAGGTAGTGCAGTTCTGACTCGTAACCTTTGATTTCAAAGGTATTCTGACAGGAGTCGAGAAACGCGTTTTCCCATTGGCGCACAATTTTAGGCTCACTTATCTAATAAAATGATTCATTAATTGCTCTTAAAAATGAAGAAGGAATTTGGATCCACTGAACTCGACGTTTAATGACAGCCTATTTGAGCAAACAATGAAGTAAGTAAACAAAACTCGGTGACTCCGCTGCTGACTTCAGTCCACATAAGGCAACCAAATGTCCTGTTTCTCCAACAGAGGAGGACGGTTCGCAACACCCCGCAAAAGGCTGCCTACTGGATCGCTGTCACGAAATTTACGTATGTGGAGATTCAGAGCAGAAGAGTATTCTACACTGTTTTGAGACTCAGGCATAATTTTTATCATGAACACGCGATCTGATCGGTTCGCGTGTCTCCCTCAATAACAAGGATTATCAAACAGTCATTGGTTACCAAAAAGTCACGTTGTGCACATACCACCTTGTATTAGCATATTAGCTTAACTTATGCTATTTAGATTCTTAAACCTGGTACTAATTATATATTACTTGTTTTCCTTTGCAAAGCTCAATGGCAGCTAGGCTTATAACATTGATTGCCAACAGCAACAACTGTAGATGAAGAAGCGGGCCATTATATGACCAATAGCGAGAGGCATTTAAATCTACAGTAATTTTTTGCATTTTGTCTGAAAATATAAAAATGGTTGCTCTAAAGATTCCTCCCACCGACGTCATTTCTGAACATAGATGAAAACACATGAATTCCCCTATAAAGGTATTCGCGTCCACAGTCATGTAAGGATAATGCAGGAGCAGACAGTCTCTCCTTTGATCTTAACTTTGCTTAAATTCTGACTTATCGGAAAGCATTTGAAGCACCATTTCGGACGAAACTATAAAATAAAGCACAGTTAATCGTTTTGATTTGGTGCTCGTCTGGCACAGGCAGCTGTGTTAATGTTAGACACATACAAAGACTGGGCAATCTCAACGACCGTGCGCCTCTGTCTTTAAGAGTACGTTAATCGCCACTGACGGCAAGAAGTCGCACAGATAAGCGTATTATGCCAACTCAAATACTTGAAATTCGGTCCATTAGCGGGACTTCGTTTTCGATGATGCGATGCTATGAGACTCCTTGCATGCCGTAGGCCGTCAAGACTCATCTAACGTAAATGGTAAATGCCTGGCCCATAACCCCCCCCCCCCCAAATCCTTACGACCAAGATGGCGTCTAACGTCTTACTGGAAGGGAGCAGCGATTGCCACGCAGTAGTTGCATTTAAGCACTGCTCTCCCAGTGGCTCACGGGATAATAGTACAAATAGAATGCTTGCGAGACCGCAGTAGACCGCCGTCCTTTGCTTTCCCTCTTGCAGGATCAGTTTAGGCAGTATAGGATCGAGCGCTTTCTGGCCAGTATTTAGAGCATGACTGAACGATGTCGAAAAGTAAGCCATGATTGTTCATTCCAGTAAACATAGTCTTTGCTCCTGTCCCCCAGACACGCAGAATATCCAATTTTTCTCCTTTTACTACTTCATTTTTAGCCCTGGGCAGAGTTTCCCATTACTCAATCAAATCACTGCAATGTTTCTCATAACAGGGAATCCGTGTGTCTTGCATCTAGCGACAGCGCAATTCAAGACAGGATTCGATTTGCGCTATAATCCCGATTGTTCTTTGGATATTTTAATTATTTTCAGATCTGCCGACATCGTCTTGCATGTGTAGATATACGTCTATATCAGCAGTTCTCATAACAACCTTATTAAGGACGAAATTCGACTTTTTGTCAACTATCAAAAGTGATGAAGGTACATATTTTATTTACAAAGATAAAGTATTACTCCATCACTTTTTGCAGACTACGATTGCATTTTAAAATGCTTTAAACATGAACGAAAAACTCTCTCGGACGAGGCACTTTTGCAATACAATTCGCGCCTGCGCCTGGAACTGTTTGCGAATTAGGCACAGTATGACGATACGCTAGAATTACTCAGCCGATATCGTCAATGTTGGTTAGTATTTAAGCCTTATCTGAGTGAACGGTATCATTCAAGTGTGTTTTTGGGCGGACTGATTAATATATCCTGCTTGTCTGCTCATATTGTAACAAATTTTGGGCGGCTAATTTGTTTCTGAATGGTACTTCATCGCAGTCCCGTTATATATACCTACAATCGAACAGAGTGGAAACCGAAATGAAAAAGATTCCGCAAACCAGGATTTATGGGACAGGGTTGATCCGGTATCATATGCCTAATAAGCAACAGACCCACTGTGAACCACTTATCTTCGGACATTAATTTAAAGTTTTCAGTAGCGAACACAAAAGATTTTGTGCATGAAAGGCATATTACTGCCGGCGTTTTGTTAATCTGCCAAGTCCATATAATGGCTCTTGGAATTTGATGCTCACGTTGATGTCGTTACTTGTCATCTGGCACCAGGTTCACGTGTTTCGGACAGAATACTCTTGTGAAATTCCCAAGATCTGTAGGTTACTAAATAAGGAACAAATAAACTATTTTAGTAATGATCCCTAAAAGGCAATCGCGCTTTCTCTTATTATATTTTTTACCTATTACACTGACCATATGCTTTTTGTGACTGAAACAGCGGTATGTCTTCTGAGGCGAGCTCTGTGGCTACTGGTCTAAAATTCAAAATACCGCCTGCCCGTTGTTTCACGAATGTCTTTTCAAAATAACTGATTTCCGCTCGCTGGACTTACCCGCCTACGAGTTGCCCCGTCACGTTTATGAGCACATTTACTGCAAGAGTTGATGGACGCGGCCATGATTTCCATAAAATTTATAATGTTCGCAACACACCATCATGACGCTGACTACCTGCCTTTGTCATTTATATCTCTAAAGAACCTGTGTTCCCTCTCACCGAAGACTGATTGGTATCTGTTGGACCCGAAAAGTTTACTGAGGCGATTAAAGTCGTCTGGCAGTGGTCCTTGATATGCTGTGTTTCCCCGTCTATTGACTATGAGTACGCGTCCCCGTGTATGTTGTTACAGATGATTAAGTTAGCATCTAAGCAACCTACATACAATGGTTGATGTTTGTACACGGCTGTGGCCAGATGCTTGTGAGTTTGAGAGCAAACCACGATACGTAAGAAGCTAAACCAGATATATTTTTTCCCCACCATCATGAATGGTATATCCGCAATGAGTGATTCTAGTTACGCACTCAAGTATTCACGCTTATAATGACAAAATATTTAAAAAGGTCCTGATGTAATTGCGCACCAAAATGCGGTTCATTATGATTTCTCTCTTATGAACTTACGGACTGCATCATTTACAATCAGCCTCACGCTTACTGACATGCACCTATGCAACTTTTGTCACCGGGTATATTATTTATTTCCCTGCACTCGAAACGACCGCTGTACAACTGCCCCTAACATTAACATTCGAGACAGTTCGTTTATCTGACAGAGTTGACGC